TTCTTAAAACAATTGTTGAGCTAGCTAACGTGCTCATTTCTAAATTCAATTTCTTGTTCTAGCTTTCTGTTAGGTTTCGTAAAAAAGTAGTCTTGATAATCCCGACCTGTCAATCAGCCCTAGAATGGTCGATAGACTGGTTAAGCGAGACTAATTTCAAAACAAGGGCACGTAGCCTATCTTTTACTCAAAAGTGTCTGGATGTTATGGACGACACATGGAACCAGTTTTCAGTCTATTATTTATAGATGATTAATGGTCATAGCTTATTAAGTACAACATGATCGTTTATTTAGTGACTATAATTGTGTGAAACTGATTTGAGGCTTGGCATATATATAAATATTGTGGCGAAATTGTCGAGATATATGGAGATATTTATTTATGGTGGGTCACCCTACTAGTAATACTATTATTAACACTAAAATTATGATAGGACCTGACAATGCGGTAAAGTTATCTTGATCAAATAAGGGGATACACTGGAAATGGTTACTGATAACTTTCGGCTTTGACTCCAGCCACAGTAGTGGATGGTTCTAAGGATTTCCTTTGAGCAGGTTGATTTGATTACAAAAAAGTTACAAATGAAATTGCTTAACATATAAATGATTACAAATAAGTTATAAATAGTTTAACATATAATATAAATGTTAAATGCACAAACAAAGATAAACTGTTCGGTGACTATTTTAATGGTTCATACTTCATTGTTTGTGCTTTAAGCATTTATTTCAACACAAAATGTTTTTATGGTAACACAGCTAAACGTTTCGGACTAGGTTTGTCGACGTTTCAGACCTTTTATTGGCTTTAAAAAGCATAAATGTCTTTTGCGTGAAACAGAATCATTGCAATCACCATACAGCCACAATGATTGACAACTTGCATTTTTCCCCATCCACCAAAGAACCGTATTTCTTTCCACATACTACAATAATATTGTGATTATCGGTACTGAGACATCGACAATCACATTTGAAGCTTATTTTCCGTGATTACACCCATTATTGGCTAATTCCAGCGTGACAGACGGGACAGAATAGGTGACCATGTAAAATGTCAAGCCCATTCTCTATATGATACTAAGGATAGAAGGGAATTTAAACATGGTATTTCCTAGCAGAGAACAAATAGTATCATATAAAATATGAAACTTAACTCAGTAAAACAATCTCTAGATGTCATCACCTAAACCATGACCGTGACAGACGGGACATTAATTTGCATCCAGTTTTCAAAGGATTTTTTCAAAACAAAAATTCTATCTCAATTAAAAATTAAACTACATTGTTATAATGATGTCCGGTATCCCATAAATTAAGCATCATATCTGGGGCAAGGATGAGAGCAATATCTTAACCAGCAGCTGCCAGGCAGGATACGCCCACATTTTCTAGAGATGGATAGAGAACAAGCTAACAAGAAAGTGATTTTTCCTACTATCAAGGGCCATAATTCAGGAAGTTACAGTCCGATATGCGCGAATATCGAAAGGAACCAAGATCTTTGGGTTATAAACTTACATTTCAATTTTCAACAAAATCGGATAAAAATTGTAACCTCTATAGGGTCCACAACCTTGATATACCATATTTTTTACGCTATTTGAGAACGAACGGCGGCCATTTTGTCTGTCAATTTTGGGCCGATTTTCACGAAATTCGAACTCAACCTTCCTTAGGGTGTAACGGTGATATAATAATACGTTTTTTTAAATCGGATAAAAACAAGCCAACAGTGAGGCTGATGTCCCCCGCCAAAATACCAAAATAAATAGATGACACATTAATTTATCGCACATTTATTTTTTTTAAAGTATCAAGCAATCAAACTGATTATCAACTATACACTTAAGTTTCATCACTCTCTATCAAAGTTATCTTGTCCTAAAGCATCAACCAACAAGGCATTGACCTAATCAACACATACACCAAGTTTGAACATTCTAGCTCAATTAGGAAGAGAGTTATCGTGCCCCAAAGTATCAACCAATCAAATTGCTTATCTCTGCTTACCCTAAGCGGAAAATGCTCATCTAATCAAATTGCTTATCTCTGCTTACCCTAAGCGGAAAATGCTCATCTTCGAACTCCATCAAGGCATTGACCTAATAAACACATACACCAAGTTTGAACATTCTAGCTCAATTAAAAGTTATCGTGTCCCAAAGCATCAACCAATCAAATTGCTTATCTCTGCTTACCCTAAGCGGAAAATGCTCATCTTCGAACTCCATCAAGGCATTGACCTAATCAACACATACACCAAGTTTGAACATTCTAGCCCAATTAGGAAGAGAGTTATCGTGTCCCAAAGCATCAACCAATCAAATTGCTTATCTCTGCTTACCCTAAGCGGAAAATGCTCATCTTCGAACTCCATCAAGGCATTGACCTAATAAACACATACACCAAGTTTGAACATTCTAGCTCAATTAGGAAGAGAGTTATTGTGTCCCAAAAAGTGTGACGGACAGACAGACAGACGGACAGACAGACGGACCCATTTTAATAGTCCCCTGCTTTCTTCGAAAGGCGGGGGACAATTATGACCTCTATAGGGTTCACAAGCTAAAAACGCGATTTTTCGTACAATCAGGGGCCATAATTCAGGAAGTTACGGTCCGATATGCGCGAATATCGAAAGGAACCAAGATCTTTGGGTTATAAACTTACATTTCAAGTTTCAAAAAAATTGGATAAAAATTGTGACCTCTATAGGGTCCACAAGCTAAAAACGTGATTTTTCGTACAATCAGGGGCCATAATCCATGAAGTTTCGAACCGATACATGCCAATATCGAAAGCAGCCGAGATCTTTTGGGGATAAACCTATATTTCAAGTTTCGTCAAAATCGGATAAGAATTGTGACCTGTAGAGAGTCCACAAACAATTGCGGACGGACTGACGGACAGGGGCGACGGCATAATACGTCCACATGAAAATATGGGCGTATAAAAATATACTTTTAGGGGTGAGTTTTTATGTGTGACAGACGGGACAAAGTCATTGTGACAGACAGGATAAATTTGGACAAGAGAGAATGCAATCTTATTTGAAATGATAAAGAAATTGGGAGTAAATGATGAGTGATGAAAACTTGTCTTTGGATGTTTGAAATCCATTTCATGCTTCTAATGGAGATGTTTAACCATTGTCTCATGACTCTGACAGACGGGACATTAATTTGCATCCATTTTTCAATGGATTTATTCAAAACAAATTTTCTTTCTCAAATCAAAATTAAACTACATTGTTATAATGATGTCAAGTTTCCCATAAATCAAGCATCATATCTGTGGCAAAGTTGAGAGCAATCATGTTAAAAATATACTTTTAGTTTTAGGGGTGGGGTGAGTTTGTACGTGTGACAAATGGGACAAATTAGAACTTATTTGAAATGATTAAGTAATTGGGAGTTAATAATGAGCGATGAAAACATGTCTTCTGATGTTTGAAATCCATTCTATGATTCTAATGGAGATGTTTAACTGTTAAACTGTTATCTCTCAGTTTTTGGAACCATTTCGTATCATTCAGAATTTGTTTAAATTCATTTATTTTCTAAAACAAACTACATATATATATGATAAATATAACACTGATTAGACAATTCATAATAGAACGAAGATTGCTGTTTAAAAATTATTTCGCATGATAAAAAAAATAATCTGGAACATGTACTTTGAAGAAAAATCAGAATAAATTTATAATAACAATTAAAGATGGATAATCTTGAAGTAATTTGTCATGCCCTGAACGAATATAAATATTTTAAATTTGGTATATTTGGATATGAGGGCTTCAGATACCTAATCTTCAATTCTAAATCAACATTTTAAAAATTCAAAAATTTCAAATTGGAGCAACTTTGACTGGGGTTTCCAAAAATTCCTAAAGTTAGCCAATGTTTGTGGAAGAATTAGTTTGTTGATAATTACAACTGAACTATCAAATAATAAAAAGAGTTCAATGACAAATGATCTATTAAAATTCAACAATGTTATTAAGCTTCTTGAACTATTTGAAGGTAAAAAAAAGCAGATTAAAGCAGGAAAGCAGCATTATAAACTTGTGTGACAGACGGGACAATTGTGACTGACGGGACACATTTCAAATACAATTTTCACTCTGTTGATTCATATTAGATCTAATTAATTATATGCTCTGAATCGGCCATATAAAGAAGGAGATAGCTATTATTGTTAAACTTTTAAATATTACCTAGTTCTGTTAATACAGAAACTTTTCAGTGTATTCTGTGACAGACGGGACAATATTTATTGTTACGATTTTCAGCTTGAAAGATACTTTAACTTACATGTACCCTCAAAGAAATTATATACACTGCACAGTTTATTACTAGTTTATATGATACAAATATGCCACTACCATCATTTTCTACCCCTATTTTATTACAACAGAGCAAATTAAATTTAGGCTGCTAAATCATAACTATTTTTTTAAAAATGATCCACAACTTTGGCGCCTCGTATTTTGGTGATAACGTAAGACAGATAAAATATCAACCCAATTTAAATAACTTCAACATAATTATATTGAAAAAAAAATTGCATTGAACTTCCTCCTTATCATTTTATTTTTGTTCAAGTGTGGAACATTGGCATAATAACTATATTATTGTTATTTTTGTCATGTTATTAAATATATGCATACTAGTCATCCAAATAATGGTCCGAATGAGCCTTGTCATGGCCCGTATCAGCAAGGTCCGAATCCGCCACGGTCCGAATCAGCCGCGGTCCGAATCAGCCGATTACCAATGGGCACTACCATCTACAGATGCACATGAAAAATGTATGGAATCCATGGAGAGCGGGACAAATAACCATGCTGTTTTTAGTAGTGACACTAGTTTTTGTCAAAAGACAGGTTAAGTTAATATCTTGTACTAGTAGTACTTAGTAAGATAGATAATGCTATGGCCTATGGGCCTAGGCCTTAAGTACTAGACTAGAGATGAGTAGATGACTTACCAAAATTCGATTTTCTGTACGATCATTTCTAATTTCTTGTCGAACCATTCGTTTAATCCCCAGTTTAATCCGCCTATCCATCACATCTTTAATACTATCTAAAATCAAATTATTAAGATATTATAATAAACCCTAATAATTAATAAGCAAGATAATTTACAGGTGGTTTTATGACATAGTTAGTCAACAGCCAAATCAAAACAAACGGGAAAGATTTCAGGGCTCTCGGATAACTTTAGAACAGAACGTTTACCCTGAATCTCTTTTGGTATATTACTTGGTGCCGCCATGGTTGCACACTCCTATTGTCCTAGCACATTTGTTGAAGGGGGTTGATTTAGATAAATGTCACATCTACACAAAAAATATAGAGTTTCAGCACTGATCCGAGGGAGTGTCTACGTCAACGCCATCTTCTAATTTCGAGTGACGTCACAAGGCTGAGAGCAAATTCTTGAGTGGCGAGATTCGGGCGGTTTCGCCAGGTTGTTAGAACACACGCCGTTTAAAGAGACGCCAGAAGCACATTGAAATTTAACAACTTAAATTCATTTCTTAGAATATCATCATATCTACATTGTGTACATTAGCTCTAAACCCAATGCAAACAAATCCCAATAGCGAGTAATAATAAAACATCCAGTTTTAAGGCATCCCTGTATTAAACATGTATACATCATAGCCAAGAGATAAATCTGCCTTTTGCAGGTCTTTGTTTAGGCCTGAAATGTTATCTAAATTATTAATTAGACATTGATTTACTTATCCAGACCATAATTAACTCTCGATGTCATCGCTAGCCTGCGATATTTACTGGATTTGAATCCGATCTGCTGCTCAACGCTCATAGATGATTAAATCGAAAAATGGATAATCGAGACTATCGTTTCTATCGCACCGATTTTAGTATTGATGATCGAGGCCAGGTCTGAAATTCCGTCGCTAAATTCTCGGTTCAGGGATGATCAATTTGACTGAAATTTTCAGCAAATTCATTTTACATTATCTAGTTTTTAACTATTATAGTGAGAACTGCCAACTCTTTATCTAATCTCCCATAATGCTCCTTTAAGTTCACCAGCTTTAAGAATCAAAACGCATAACCGAGCATTAAGATTTTTAAACAATTCCATCGAAGTTATTAATTCATAGTCCTTAATTCTTATTTCTTCATTTGTTGTCGTATTTCGACATTTGTACACTAAAATCAACATTTGTATCTTAAAATCAATATTTGTTTTACAAATCAGACATTTGTCACAAATGTATTTTTGTTTAATTTAATTTTATTTTAATATAAAGATAAAATTTGTTTTAGTAAATCAAAAAAATAATAATCTACATTTACATTCCATCTTAGACATACAACGAAAAACAAATCTCGAAAAACAAATTTCCAAATACAAATCTCCAAATACAAATTCTTCAATAACATTTCTCCAAAAACATTTCTCGAAATTCGTCGAATCGGGGGGTGGGGGGCCGAATGGTTAGCACGTGCGCGCTGTATCATAAGACCTGTCATTGAGTCAACTGGTGTGGTTTCGAATCCCCGGCTGTACGTGACAAGGAGTAGGGTCGCCTGTCCAACCTTGTGGGTTTTCTCCGGAACCTCCGGTTTCCTCCCACTGCTAAAGACCCCTTCGCGCAAGCGAATTATTGAAATAAAATTAAACCATATGTTAGTCCCGAAATGACCTAGTTTGTGTCGGGTGGACGTTAAACCACATCTCTCTCTCTCTCTCTCTCTCTCTCTCTCTCATCGAACGGAACATCATGACGACATAAGCGGAAATCAACCTGGCATACAATAAGTCACCATACAACAAAGGAGAATCGAGCAACCATATAATACAATACGAAAAACCGTTCGATATTGGTTAATCTGATCTAGCATTAAATAAAATAAATTGAAAGTAGTCTTTTTTCAGAAATTAGGTTTTGTCTGATAGCGACATATTTCTTTGCACAAACGAAAGACGGCTTTATCTCTTCTAAATCATGTTAGCATATAATGATAACTGGAATTTCATATTATTATAAGACGCGTATTTTGACTTCTAAATGGTATGCATCCCAATATCTTGCATTTTGTGTTATGGCCCGTATTATGACGTTAACACCACCCCCATCCCCCACATTTAATACATGTTAGTGCCATTTCAATTTTTTTTTTTCAAGGTACGTAAATACAATTGTGCAAGAAAATAATTTACATTTTGTAGCAAACAATACACAATATACTTTCCAGCTATATATGCACAGATATCGGTTTTTTGACTTTAAATATCCCTCCCCGCCTCCTTCCCCTCCCCCCCCCCCTATTTACTACAAATGTAATGAAATGGGGTTTAACGTCCTACTGTTCTGCTCCGAACTGGGCTAATGAAGACGGGCATACGCCATACAGTGTGCTATGAGGGAAATTTTGCCCGGACAGCGGCACTACGGCCTACTCTTATATCGAATCCCAACTGCCAAGAGATCTTTTACGTGCACGCCAATGTGTACGCGGGACCTCGGTTTTCCGTCCCACCCGAACGACTAGAAAGCTGTCCTTGTCAAGCCCTCCGTCCTGTATCACTGACAAGGGGGGACCACGCCGGAAAATCTAGATAAACTTTCTCGGCCAATGCAGGGATCGAACACCCGACCTCCAGGCTAGCGAGCCAGCGTCTTACCCACTTAACCACCGTGATCACCCCCATTTAATACAGTTTAGTTCCGTGGAACTTTGATCTTTTTTTTTGAAGTTATATAAATAGAAATGTGCCAGAAAATAACTTGAAAAGTTGTACGCTATATTAAATTCTATTAATTGATTGGGAGGGGGTGGGTGGGGTCTTAAATGTAAAAATACGGGTCATACTACGACATTCCAGGCATCACACAGAATACCACTGAAAAGAAGTTTCATTTACCTTTTCAGAAATGTAAATTATATTCTGGCACATTTAAAATTTACCTTGAAAATTGAAGTTAGTGGTGAGGGTGGGGTGGGGGTGGATGGGTGACGCTAAATACTATTAAGTTAGTGTGTGTGGTGTGTTGGGGGGAGGGGGGTATTTAAAAGTTACAATACGGGTTATCGTGTATCGCATGAGCGGAAAGTATTTATTTCTTTACCCCTCTTTCAATATATTACGCATTCCCTGGCACATTCATGATTACATGATTTAGAAGAGATAAAACACTCTTTCGTTTGAGCAAAGAAATATGTCGCTTTCAGACTAAACCTAATTTCTGAAAATAGACTACTTTCAAATTATTTTCTTTCTCGAAGGCCCGACCCGATTAGCCATACTACGCACGTGGTTTCACTAAAGATACATTATGGAAGATTAGATAAAGAGCTGGCAGTTCTCACTATCATAGTTAAAAACTAGATAATGTAAAGGGGATATTCTGAAAATTAAAACTAGATAATGAAAAGGGGATATTATGAAAACTTCAGTCAAATTGCTCCATTCTGATTGGATATATTAGCGTTTGAATTTTAGGCCTAGTTTCTATCATCATTACTATAGTCGGTGCAATAAAAACATAGTCTCGATTATCCATTTTTGGATTAAATCATCAATGAGGGTTGAGCAGCAAATCGGATTCAAATCAAGTGAAAATCGGACACATAAGATGACATCGAGGGTTGATTTAGATCTCTTCATGTTAATAAATGTCTAATTAATAGTTTATATAACCTTTCAGACCCCAAAAAAGACCTGCAATAGGCAAGACATCGTCCGATCAGAGACAGTTCCTAAAGGAACTAATTTAGCTCTTGCATAATGTATGTTTAATGGTCCAAAAGTTATTTTTATTATAAAATTGAGAGGAATTATGATAATGAGAAATATTTGAATTTATACCAAAAATGTGCAAAAGCGTCAACCACTGAGCAAATTTAAACTCAGTACACGGACGCTTGAGATAGATAGAGCGACCAGAGCATTTCATATGTAAATTTGTACCAGCGGTGAAGCTGAATATCTGAGACACACGTTCTTCTCCATTCTCAGACAAAAGTTTTTAAGCCGTCCACTCGACTAAACGACACAATACAGTAGACCATGCAGTATATAATGAACACTGACAGGTGTATACACGATGTTGCAACCTTTGTAAATGAACTGTTTAAAAATACCGTTTGTTATGTAATCCCTTACTGTAGAGCCAAATATAACTTCGAAATATATGTTTATAAATTTATGAAAATCCAGCTTTGTTTTTGCTGTATCGCCCAAGCCCTCCTCTTTAAGTATGGTTTTCACGCTTCGCACAGTCCTGTTCAGCTAGCTGTACTTATAGCGTAACACGCCCGAATATTACCACTCCGTAATAATGATTAGGATACTGCTGGATGATTTTAAAGAAGTGAAATGAAATGGGGGTTTAACGTCCTACTGTTCTGCTCGGGCTAATGAAGCCGGCTTGAGATGCTGAACACGGAGCTCGTTGTTTTAGCATTTTTTTTTTTTTTTTTTTTCAAATGTATTTTTTTTATATTTCATATTTTCGAGAGCTTGTTTAAGTTATAGAAGTTGTTTTGAAATTAAAAGAAATTAATGTTTTTTTGAACAAATAGGCTAAGGCGACAGTGGGTGGAGTCAGAACAAAATGTTAGTGCTATTAGTGTTAAGAGTTTGTCAGTAAAAGTTCCTTATAATTTGATGTTCAGGTAGGGAAAAAGGTTACACTTTCGAAAATATATTAAATTTTAAAATTGAAAAGCATGGCCAATCTTAAAAACTAGTTTGTTCTAGATTAGTAAGGGAGCTAGGTTCAGGTTGATTCGAAAATCGCGTACAAAATTTCTACTATGCTAGATGAGCGGACAGCGGTGCCCGATACTCTGAACCTTGATTCTTAAGTTGCGGGTCCCCTTCCCATGGGGGTCCAACAAAACGTCGAAATTTCGAGTTTAATTCGACTTTTGCGTGCAAAAATCAACTTTCCTGCTTAAGTTGACCAACTTCAGATGTCGCCAAAAACATTTCTTGAGAGGACCCCCGACCCTTCCTTTCTCCCCTGACAATTCATAAAAAGAATTGACTGCCACTACATAAGAGAACACGAAAGAAAAACAGAAAAAGTCCGTGCATTACCATTTTTTTATAAGGTATAGAATGAATATAAACAAGGGAATGTACGGACTATTTCTATTTTTCTCGTGTTCTCTTATCTAATGACGTTCAATTACTTTATTGAATTTTCAGGTATCCTCTTACAGTCCCATAAAACAACTTTTGGTCTTCGAAGGAATTATTAGTGAGCAGAAATTCGGCCGTGTACCTGTTATCACTCGTCACATCAGTCAGTTGTATCCTCTTACAGTCCCATATAACAACTTTTGGTCTTCGAAGGAATTATTAGTGAGCAGAAATTCGGCCGTGTATCTGTTATCACTCGTCAC